TGGTTTTCAAAGTACTTCTGCATCCAGCTTATAGTTTTTTCATCTAAGCCAAGTTTCCATCATATGTAAGACAGTATCAAAAGCTACAGCCTAAACATCTGCTTTTCTTCTATCCACAGAGCCCATTACTCTCACGTATGGCTTTTTCTTCATATGACTTATTCTTTAAAAATCTGAGTTGGCTACTCATCCTTTTGCCATTTTCTTCCAGGTGCTTAAAATGTTTCCCTCACCCCCCGAAACTTTTTCTTCAGACTTCAGTTAAGCTTATTTCTTTATTATTTCCTATCCCTTACACTCTCCATCCGCATTTAAAGACAGATGAGGTACTGGAAAGCCGAATATAGTGAACGTATAGGAGCTGTCAGGAGTAGCTTAAAGTTCTGGAATTGTTTCAGCCTGTCTACTAAGTAACAGAGAAAAAGTTTAACTTTCGTGGTTTACTCTAGAATAACCCAACCAGTCTGAGGCCTTTCAAAATTCTTCTTTCCCTGGTTCCAGCTATGAGTGTACAATTACCACGGACAACAATGGGATACCAGTCCCCACCTCAACATTGATCTCTGTAGTGAAAACTGATTAAAAAAAAAAAGAAAGAAAATTACAAATGTCAGTCTTTCACATGCATAAGGCAGCGGATGATACCATATTGATCTGATTTACTGACAGCTAAATAATATTTCCTGCAGCCTGCAGGTATAACCCTCTAAGAGCTTTGACATTTATAGAACCCATATGGGGTGGTTACGTGATGAAGCGAAACTCCATCTTATACCCGAAGAACATTAGTAACTAAACGGATATCATTAAACAGGAGCTCGGCAAGTTGCCTTACAGATTCAAGATACTAGATACCAGAACACAGCACCTGTATCTGTATCACCAATTAACACGTGGTGTGAGACAGGCACGCTTGACTCCCATTATAGTGCCACAGCTGTTGCTCTAAAACGAGCTCACGGTCTCAGTCCAGTTCTTCGCTGACAGGTATCCGTGTCAAACAAAAAGGACACCAGCGTAATTAGTTCTTACCAAAGAAACCAAATCACCTAGAAACTCTCGTATTTCTAGTAGCGGCTTCCCATGAAACACTACTCTTAAGAAGAGTTTGACGCATTAGCTGTATTTTTTGCTGTTACTGAAGTCCAGATTTATCCAGGTTTCACTAATCATCAGTAGCCTTCATGCAACTGTAGAGCGTTACGAAATGTTCTCCTTCTAAGATTCTTACAATTGTTCCAATTCCTTTCTTGTAATGGTTTCAACCCTCTTTAACCGTGTTCTGGAAGAAAAATACTCTAAAGTAACTTCAAAGTTGAGAAGCGGCAATTAGAAATTCTAAAAATAGTCCAGAGCTATTGCTGCAGCTTTGTTTCTGAGGAAAATCGTAACACTGAAGGAAAAATACAATTATCACATTCACAAGCATGCGATACAAATTACATTGTCACAGACATGGCTATGCTGTAGGAAAAGTTTCCATTGTATGCAGCATTTGCATGCACCTCCAGAAAATAAATGCTGTTTTCCTCATACCCAAGTTGGCTCCCTATATTGGGAGCAGCGGAAGAAATTTAGGATTGTCTCAGTTCCTAAGACTCTTGAGAATTCTAATATCTAGTGCTTCCTAATTCATATATTAAGCACATATATATATGCATGTAAAACACATAATTGGGACTGGAAATAGGTAGATTACAGTAACCAGCAGTAACAGGTAACAAGCGGTATTCTGTGAACAAGTATCTAGCTTTGCAAGTAGTTAACTGAAGCACTTTCAGCAGAATTCCATTAAGCACAATATATTTAGAATCAGAATGCTGTAAATTAGTAAGAAAGTCTAACGGCAGTGCTTAAAAATATTCTGCATCAGTCTAAAGTGTCTGTTTTATTCCAGGCATCAGTGTGGAGTACTTCATACTAGTAAATAAACTTACCTGTTAACAATTACACATCTTTAAAGTGGGTATTTGTACTTACATAAAATGCCATGCTTATCCTTACAAGCAAGAGTATTTATCAGTATCTCCTCAAAATGGCTGAAACATCCCCCTCCCTCCAAAAAAACTGTTTTGGTGGCACAGATCTTCCAAAAATGTCTCAATTCTCAGAGAAGCAAGGAGGGGGGTCAGCAGCCCTGCTACCTTGGGCTTCTGGAGGGCAGGCTTTGGCCTGTCCAGGAGCCTGGTTGACAAACTCCCTGACAGGAGGGTGTAGCGAGGCAGGTGTTGGTCTCTTCTCCCAAGTAACAAGGGATAGGACGAAAGGAAATGGCCTCAAATTGCGCCAGAAAAGGTTTACATTGGACATTAGGAAAAATTTCTTCCCTGAAAGGGTTGTCAATCACTGGCAGGGGCTGCCCAGGGAAGTGGTCGAGTTCCCATCCCTGGAGGTGTTTAGAAGATGGGTAGATGAGGTACTTAGAGACAGGGTTTAGTAGTGGACTTGGAAGTGTTAGGTTAATGGGTGGACTTGATGATCTTAAAGGTCTTTTCCCACCTAAATGATTCTATGATTCTATGTTACTGTTCCACAATTTGCAGAAGTATGGTAAAAGTACTGGGGGGAAAAAAAGGAAACCGGAATGTCTGGTCTTTTGTATCTAGAGGTATTTTTCAGCTTAACTCAATTAAGTACAAGATCACTTGGATTGTTAAGAGCTCATATATATATATATATATACATACATACACACACACACACACACACACTAACTTTCAAAAGCTACACAGGTTATGCGTACCTTCCTGACTATATTGACTAGGCATCATCACTCAGAAATTATACTGAAGCCAATGGGGCTCTATGGATTCAGATTTTTCTTGAACAAGAGTGAGAAAATCAAGACCTCTACACTTCAACCTGACTCTTGTTGCTGCATTTGAAAGTAGGCCAAACTTCTGGTTTTAATCAAGATGTGCTCCTATAAGCTTTGCTTTACCTTTACCAGTGTTTTAATTTTGTTTTTAATTTCCCACTCCACAATCTACTTCAGTTTACCCCAGAAAATATCAGCACCGAACACAGATGGATATTGTCACTAGTTACAGGAAGTTTTCCTTCAGTCACTGAAACATTCCTGTTACTATCCTAAACCCCTACAGTAGAGGCCACCTGCTGTTAGCCAGAAAGAACAGCAGATGTTTACAGAAAATGCCAGCCTTTCTTTAACTGAAAATGGGATTCCTGTAACGCATAGCACTTTTTCTTTGCAGTTCATTCGACAGTGCTCAGTAGAAATTTTTCTTTGGGTGACCAAGAAGCCTCCAACCCACACCCAAATCCCATCTCCAGTTGTACGTTCTGTCATCTTCCTACCTAGCACTCTCCTCATTTCTGGGTGGTCTGTCTTCTGCTCTGCATTCGTTTTCCTGGTTCTCTCTGTGCCTCATGCTTTGGCAGAGGACCATACCAGATCTAGTTCATAGTCCATGACCAAAGAAACATAAGGGATCATTTAACCTTGTTTGTTACAGACAGAGTCATCTTAGTTTTACTCTCCCAAAACTATCTTCTACCTTGCCCTTGTAAGTCCCCTTATTTGTTCCAAGTTATGTCACCTAGCAGGTAATTATAATCAAATGGATTTCATAGACCACAGCCATTCAATTATGCCATTAAAACCACTGTTTAAGAGCGTGCTCATTTATAGTCAGCTGCAAACTTGGAGGCTGAAGCCTAACCACAGTGGAACAAATACTGAGCTGGAGGGATCTCGATTATACTCAGTGAAGTGACTTTCTGGTTTGACTTCCCTCTCAGATGCATTAAAAAGTTGACTTATGTATTCAGTTATTTACTTACATAATATCAGTACTCACCCTCGAAGGTAAGCATATGTCTCGACAAAACCAGAGTGACTAAAAGAACCACTCTGACAAGACTGCAGTTATGAGCCTCATTAAGCAGCTCAAGCTACCTTAAATCTTAATGACAAACACGTAAGATGAGCAAATACAGAAGTTGCATTGTGCGCAAGAATGAGAGTAGAAGTGACATATCCCGAAGACAGATGATTAACAGCTAGCTCAGAAATTTGATTGAGTATGTGAACAGTAATACTTGCTTCACAATTATGGGAATAAAAAACATTTATCACTGACAATTACCATACAGATGAAAATAGTGCTTCAAACACATATGGCTTGCAAAAAAGACATTTTATAGAGATTTAGAGGGGTTTTTCCCTCCCCCAGAATGCAATACATCACTTCAATGAAACATGATAGTAACATTCAATCTTTTAAAATGAAGACAAAGTAAGTTGGAGCCTTGCCTCTCACACAAAAAAGCAGCAGCTTCAGAAGTAAGTTTTCTTGGCTACTGATAACAGTATGTTGTTTGGATACAGTACAAGTTCATGAAAAATGAGGTTTCTTGTCCCTGATATTTAAAAAAAAAGAAAATTCATTATCCAATAGTGAAAATAGAGCTGGAATTACGTGGTCGTAGTATAGTATGGCATCTCAAGACTGGATGTAGAACAAGCCACGCACACAAGAAAAAGCTTCAGAAACTGCATAGAATTCAAGTAATTTTGTAGAAAATAAGTTTTATTTGGCTCTTTTCGTACACTTTTTCAAAAACAAATGCACATTCATACAGTTTACCTTTCTCAGTGCATGTCTGGATTTGCTCACATAGAGCCGTTAACATCAAGGCAAAAGGTGCCTTTGAAATAATTTCAGACACATTGTATTTTGACTGTAAAGCATCCAAAGTTACTGATTTTCTAATTATAACTTGGAAAGAAACATTTCAGGTGTTTCTTCTCTGATTCACACATAGAATTGTCCCACCCAGGGAAGAGCAGACAGACCTGCAACAAAGAACTGTCAGGCCAATGGCTAATACTCTTTCAGGCAGAGCTAAAGATAGGTCCTCTATTTCATACCAAGTTGGAATATAAAAGAAAAACCCAGCTAGGTAACTTGCTCTTTTCAAAAGCTCTAAAACAGAAATGGTAAAACTTTGCTTCAAAACTACGTATCAGCCCATGGTGACTATGGAAATTTGTTTCTTGCTGCTGCTTCTTAAACACTTCATGAAGAGGAGTAAATTCAGCTCAGACTTTCATACATCACAAGAGGTACTAACCCATCAAGTAGCCCCTACAGACAAAAATTAAGTTAGAGAAAAAGTTAGCAAACACAGACAGCACTTCTCAAAAATCAAGAAACAGATGGTCTTAAAATAAAAACTTCAGACGGCCAAACCCTCTGCTGATCAAGGCTATTTAAAACAATAAATCCTGTCCAAGGTACAAACCGGCCAGCTTAACGACATGCTCCTTCCTCACCTGATTTTTTTCAATGAACACTGAAAATGGATTAGTCTGTTCTCAGTCCAGCTTCAGTAATTGTCTGGAATTTTTGAAACCCAGTTTACACCCTATGAAAGGTTCTTTATTTGTACACTTTACACAAACTACCAGTGTTAAGATACACAGTATAACCTGACATTTTCTGGCACTCAACACAACTCTGGTCTCTTTTTCTCTTCCGTTTCTCCGAAGCCCTGTTTCTTTAATGAGTTTAAGAAAGAGAACTGTTAAGACACATATGTACTCAATGAAACAAGAAAATACATAGCACTGATGAAGCAAGAAAATATACATCAGGTCCCTATCCAGGTACCTGCTGCCTGGGAACCCATCACTTCTGTGTCATGAAACTACACTGCAGAGGTTAAAAAATAAAGATATATTTAAGAAAGGAGGAACAACTGTCATTGTTAAGTCAATACCTCATGGAGCTACTCCGGAAATTAACTACAAGTACCTCCAAACATCAGGTTTCAGCTATTCTAAATGAAATGGATGGACTGAGAAATAAAGAGGGGGAAAAAATTTAAAATCCCGCATTTGGATTTTGCATAGCCTGAAAACTCCAGCTTTCTCCTACTTTTTGATCTGTGAATATAGACACATTAAAAAAAATCACATCTATTGTATGCTTCACTGTTATGTTCGGTCTTCCAGCAACAAAAAAAAAACCCCGAGACATCATCTTTATTTTAGGGATGTTTCTGAACACTTGTTACCACTACCATCAGTTCTTCTAGTTATGATCTCTCATGTACGCTGTCACTATGAAGTACTCATTTGACTTTCTTCAAGTTAACACTTGCTTTTTCCTCAAAGCTCTACCTTCTAATTACTTTTACCTGACCGGTACATACTCAGTCTACCTTAAAATCCATTGTAACTCAGACTTGCTAATCATACCTTCTGACATACCAGAAACTGTCACCACAGCACAATCTTACAGTACCTGGCCCCAAAAGCATCTTACCTCATTCAAGGTAGCTTGTTCCAAAAAAGCATTGAAAGAGGCAGCTTACAACCAAGCTGCAGATCTTTAGCATACCTCACTGTATTTTCTGTTACTCTTAAATTTAACACAGGCACACATGAGACTCAAAAAAGAAAAGCTGAAAGAACATGAAATCACTTACGGTAATTTCATCCTCATGAAAACTCTGGCCATGAAGAAGCTCAAAAGCACACTGACAAATCCAATAAAGAGCAAAAGAAATCTATTCAGCTTGGGGATATTTGGTGCATTGGAGCGATCCAGAATTATGAATCCTAGGCCGCCCATTGTGAAGAGGAAGCTGGATGCAAGCCCTTCCATAATATATTGCCCATTTACTCTGCAGAAAAAAAAAGGGGGGGGAGGGGGGAGGGAAGAAGAGAGAGTGAAAAAAAAGATTAGTTTTAAAGAAACTAGTTACATTTCAAACCCCATCTACTCAACCTGCTGTACAAATACACAGGGTGATTAACTTTGATGGCTGACTTTCTAACAAAACATAGGTATGGAAACTGACATTATGCAATTACATTAAGGGTAATTTACCTCTGGCACTGTCAGTTTGCAAGGTGACCAGAGAAGCATACTAGTGGTTTCATACATAACAGCCTATACCAATGGCTACCATGCAAGCTCATCAGTTTTTAGAAATACCTGGTCCAAAGCAGCACCTGGTTTCACAGATGACTGCAGGCATGGAACCATGACCCCATGGCTACTGAGCTTTCGAAGTCTTACTTCTGTGATGTTTAGGCAGCAGTGCCTGAATCCTCATCTCAGTACAAATCCCACTCAAAGTACTACGTCAGCACATGAAGCACATCTACTGGTTCCAGCATACGTCAAAAGTGGTTCTTGACTGCAGTATGTTTGCTACCAGCTCGCTGTGCCTGCACAGAGGTTGTGGGGACCCAGCCTGAACATACCCCAGCTCTCTGTCAGTCCACACTGATGGATTTCCTTCTTACAAAGCTCAAATGGAGAGAGGGGAAGCCGAGATGCAGGAAGAATATTGCACCTGGGTCACGAGTCTCCTGCTTCCCACAGTCACAAAACCTTTTTCCTATCCTTGTAATTAGCAATACTAGCAACCTCATAAAATTGGCGTGGATGAAACTACCGTGAATGCTAATAAAGAAGTGAAGATTATCTTTGTCATCTCACATCCTGAAAACAATTTCATCTTCTTTCACATTGTTTTCACTGAATCATCCTAAAATGCTATCAACTCCCAGCAGTAGCCTGATTCATCTACACTGCAATGCCCCAAGCCAGCCTGAGGCACATATGACATCTAGTCCAAGTCAAAAATCTGTGCATGAGGCACATCACAGACCTCACAGATTCAAAGAACCTTTTTGGTATTTAACAAAAAACATTACTTGTTTCCACACACATAAAAAACATAGCTACAAATGTAGATTTAACCCTCTTCAGACCAGGTTGTTACTAAGCAGTCTCTAGCTTATTTGCAGTAACAGAAGCAACAGACTCAAAGATGACACTGTTGTAACGTTTGTAATTGCATTCCCCACCCTCAGACATGAGAGTCCTAATTACAGTAGAGTTTAAAAGGCCAGAACCAAAAGTTTCACAAATATTACACACGCCGCTATGAAATACGACCAAATGTCTCTGCATCCACTATAAAACTCAACTGTAACAGCAACGGTTTGGAAGAACGAGAAGCACTGCCACCTTAAAGCTTTTCTCATTTTAAAAAATTTTAGAAAGACTGAGCTTTTCTATTTCCGTTGATTTCAATGCTGGGGTTTTTTTGTTTTGTTGTTGGTTTGTTCTTTGTTTTGTTTTTTTTTGTTTGTTTGTTTGTGTTTTTTTAATTTTTGCAAACCAAGGACTGACCTAGAACAGACCCCACCTTGCACAAGAGAGCTCCAAAAAGAGGCGGGTGTCCCAACTCTGGCAGACGGGTGTATTCACTTGTGCTTAGGCACTGGCAGCACCGCGCTTGCCGGGGCACAGCCCTGCTCCTACCTGTACGCCAAGAAGGCCACCGGCCTCTGGTGCCCGTGTTCGTCTGTCATCGACCCCACGCTGGGAGGCTCCACAATCACGTCATATGCACAAGAGAGCTCCAAAAAGAGGCGGGTGTCCCAACTCTGGCAGACGGGTGTATTCACTTGTGCTTAGGCACTGGCAGCACCGCGCTTGCCGGGGCACAGCCCTGCTCCTACCTGTACGCCAAGAAGGCCACCGGCCTCTGGTGCCCGTGTTCGTCTGTCATCGACCCCACGCTGGGAGGCTCCACAATCACGTCATAGATAATGCCTGCGGGGAGGAAAGCAAGCATCGCCTTTGATCGTGGCAGC